GATTGCAAATGTTCAAGTGATTGTTTTCGTATACTGTATATCCGTCCCACATGTAACGGAGGCATATTCTAATATTGGACGCATGTATGAAATGTAAATTTCATTTCAGTTTAAACTTAATTGCACGCATGGTACTCAAAACTTTAGAGGCTGATGTTATAATGTTACCAAATCAATATGCTGACGCCATTTTAAATCTGTTGAAAAAATTATACCTAAATGTTTGATGATAAATGATGATCTACAAAATCAAGAAAATAATCATTAAAAAGGAGAGTAGGCTTGTCGGATGAAAAAAAACATAACCTCCCTTTAATTGGGATTTAAACTTACAAGCCATCGTTTGGACCATTCATCGATAATTTCGAGATCGTGATTTAAAGTCGATTCTATGTAACGCATGTCATTTGATGAAACGGCCAATGAGCTGTCATCTGCGAAAAGACGTGTTATGCTTATCAAATTTTCGGCAATATCATTAACATAGATGAGAAATAAAAGAGGCCCAAGGGCTGATCCCTGGGGTACGCCTGCATTATAGATGTCAAGATTTTCGGACAGTTCTGAACCTACAAAGACGGACTGTTATCTTTCAGAGAGGTAGTCGATAGTCCAATTTAATAAATTACCATTAATACCATACTGTGTAAGTTTAAAAATAAGACCTTCCCTTCAAAACAACAAATTCCCTTCTAAACAAAAATAGACGCTACACACTATCAGCATGTCTCTTCTAAACTGATGTAAAATATCTCTCTAAACTCGCATATTTTCTGTTTTACGCACAGCAACAGGTTAGGTTAAACATGATATTTATACAATCGGAACTGCCTCGGCTTTTATCTATAATAACCTCGGAAACAATACGGTTTGAAAGTAGTTCTACCACGTGAATTTAGATGTAAACAGAAACAGAGATAATGTAAAATATGGAGGGTTATTTATGCCAAAATTACATCTTGCTTTCTTACGTTACATTGTGCTTTCTTACTTGTACATCGTGCTTTCTAACTTGTACATTATGCATTCTGACATATACATCTTGCATTCTGACTTTTACATGTTGCTTTCTTACATGCACATTATGCTTTCTGCTGTGTGCGACTTGCTTAATTTTATGTTGATGTCGTTATTTAACGATCAATTATTATTCATTTGTTGATCTGGTATAAAAATTTAATAAATTAACCTGCAACTGTTTGTATTTAGGTCTATTTACTCAGCTTGAATGACGAATGTCATAAGGTAGAATGCGCATTTATAACCAAAAGCCGAATGCAGCAAGCGTAATACAACGCGACATCTGGTGTAATAATATGTCATTATATGTGACACCCAAATTATGCTAACAGGTGGCGCTACAGTTATATTCTCGGTAAAGTCCGTATTGCGGTTCGGATTCAGTTTACCAAGTTACGTCCCTTTGTTTTAAAATTTCCATTTGCACACATGGAGAAAATATACAAAACGATTTAACCAATTTTTATATTTATTAATGAAACTCTGTAGGTCAAATTATATTTCCAGCTGACAATGACAAGTTGCACATTTCATAATCAATGGTTTTAGAATTTATTTTTTTTCATCAACAAAATGATTATAAAATAAAACAGTTGTTCAACATTGTTCAAAGTGCTTGGGTGATATAAAAATTTCATCCTCTTGAAAAGTTCTTAAATTTTGACATGGCTTATTTCCAATACCTGTGACCATCCACAACATTTTTTATGTGTTTTTATTAATTAGAAAATTTTCTTGCCTATTTTCAAACAAATTTTGTACACACGTTAGATTTTTTAAATTCAACTTGTCAAAAAAATGTCTTTTTTCACTAAGGTGAAATTATTCACTAAGATGCTTTATTAATACGGCCCAGGTTCTTGTTCACAGTGTCAGCTTAAAACTGAAGGAACTGCTGCCAAAATCAGCTGATTCTGAGAAAAAAAGAAGAAAAAAAAGGCAAAACTGTCTAGTCTCTCAATCTGTGAGAGTTTAGCTTAAGGACGAATTATTTCATAATATTAATTGATGAGTACATTAAAACAAAATGTACAAAAATGTCCCAATAAATGGTTTGGTGTAATTTTGGCATAAATAACCCCCATAGTAAAACGAATGTATATATTTGACATCCAAAAGGAAAGTAATATCTGTTTCGGTACACTTATGATTGAAAATATGTCTGAGAACAATTTTTAATTAAATATGCCTTTAAACAAATCCGACTAAATGTCAACAGGTTGTTTTTTTGTACTTTCGGTTTCTACAACCATATTAATAAATATAGAAATATTAATTGTATTGTTTGCTTTTGTATCTATGAATTCACTTATTTTAGGTAGACTTTTACTATAAATATTGGAAATACATTTATCAACAACTCCCAGCAATAAATTACTAATTGTTAACATGTTTAGTTTCTTAGCGTAAGTTGGACCGAAATACCGCATACGTTCTGTGTATTCATTGGCGTCCGCGCCGAAGCGCGGCGCCTATTGGAATGAAATGAGATTTTGTGAAAGGGCGACAGCAACTTCTCGAGCCTTTTATAGTTGCCAATAATAAAAGCCGATCATTCCGATCGGTATGAGGGTGCTTGATTGTTAATTAGTCGCGATATGTACAATGAATGGCGAACTGGAGAATTTCGCAATGCAAACATTTTCAAATGAAATAACCTTTTCCGTCAATAAATCGCGCTCTTCGGGGTATTTTTGCTTATCATTTTGTAGTACACAGTGGGTTATTATGGTATGTTATTCCGAAAGCTGTTAATAGAATGATGAGTTGATGACCTTAATATTCCGAAAATCTATTTATAGAGGGATGTACACCTAGGTAATTCCCGGTCTCTCCCGGGATTTACTAATGACCGGCGAATAGTACCACACGTTTATTGTCCGGTCTCTCCCGGTTTTGGAGTAGATATCGTTATACAGAACAGAACAAATATTTTACAGATAAATAAGCTTTTTTTTCAAAATGAATGTTTGTCACTTAGTTTGGTTACAATAATTAATAAACACAGATCAACTCTCGAATTGATTGATTATTATTATACATAAACATACAATTCGAAAATAAAAAACCAACAACACAAATCGCATGTTATATTTTATCTATATGAGATAAAAACAATAAATATGTACAATAATTGAGAAAAAATGTACATTTTTATGGCATTAATATGACACTATCAACTTTAAAACATTTTATATAATTTGTTATTCGTGTTTAGTAAAGATTCCGAGGAATTATTCAAAGTTACAAATCAGATTTTATGAATTATTCAATTGATTGATAATTTAAAAAATGATAAAGAAAAATACAAATGTCCATGTATATGGTTTAAGAATAAACAATATTATAAATTGAAAGATTAACCATGATTTACTGACTTTTTCCAGTTAAGCTTTGACTTATAATCGTCGATCATTATGACAATTGAATTCTTAAAATAGTAGTAAACGTAAAAACTCAGTATTAAAATAGCGCATAAAACACACACACAAAAAAAGAAAAGAAAACAATATTCATAAAATCTGTATTTTATTTTATTAAAATAGAAATTACATTTATTGTATAATAAACAATTATGCTCAACATGATAAACATGGTAATATAACAAGTGTCATATTGTTACTTAGTGTGAACAGATACCTTAAGAGGGGGTCCTCGTTAATAGCAATAACATAATAAGGGACAATTACACAAGTATGGTGTTGATCATGCGTTTCACATATGGATTATAAATGATTGTATACATGTATATCCGTTGCTATTAATAACCACGATCATAAAGAAATAACAAGTAATATTCTAATTTCTAGCATGCCGATCAAAGTTATAAATAATGAACAATGTCTTTCATCCGTTCATTCAAAAGTGATATACAATTCTGGTAAAACCCAATGAACCATTGAAAAGTTTATAAGAATATCTTGTCATCATATATCTACTAGTTCATCTGCACCTGCTGTTTGGACGCCCTTTGATGCTTTGCATCAATGCTTTTCTTGTACTATTGTGTTTGAGGTCCTTATCCGAAGGCTGACGGAAAGGGCCGAAAAGTTGCGATTGGATATTTATACTCCATCACTGTAAGGAAATATTAACTCGTTGTTTCTGAGCAACGTTGAAACAACGTCATGTGTTTGCTGGGCATATGTCAAATTTGAGTTGAATGTATAATACTGTTGAGGAGATAATGAACGAAAACTAAATATTTCATATTATTTTTAAAGTGAAAGGGGCATAACTCTGCCAAAAATCATTGAACCATGACCAAATTCGTACTTTACCTGTGCATTCCTTTGACATATCCATATGTCGAAGTTTGAGTTGAATGTGTAATACCTTTGGGGAGATAATAAGCGAAACTGAAAATATTATTTTCAAAGTAAAAGGGACATAACTCTGCCAAAAATCATCAAACCATGACCAAATTCGAACTTTACCTGTATTTTCTCATGACATATCCATATGTCAAATTTGAGTTGAATGTGTGCCACCGTTAATAAGATAATGAACGGAAACTGATGATGACGGAATGACAGAATGCCTGAAGGACGGAAGGACAGAATGACGGAACAGGTAACACTATATCCCCAGCCATTATATGGCGGGGGCATAATAAAAAGAGTTGAAACATGTTGCAAAGTTAAATCGGGTATAAATATTTTGGCATGTGTTTATAACCTTGTGACCTAGTAGTAGTTTATCCAATCTGATTAAAATCAGCTCCTAAATAACTCTACGCTACATATGGAATTGAACTTTAGTCAGATTGTAGTTTATCTTAACGAATGCTATTTATATCCAATATCAGTAGAAAAAGCAAATAGATACCAGTCACAACTACTGTCGTCTCTAAGCACAGTTTAAACAAACATAATAAATCTGTCAGTGGATAAATCTATCCTTTCTCATTTGAACCATTTTAAACAGAAATATATAGACAGTATTGGTAGTAAATTTGTGTTTAAAATAAAATTAAAATCATGGCAAAATCCGAGAAAGACTTCAAAGCATCAGTTACACAGGACTCTGATGAAGTTCAGGAAATGTTTTGTGAACATTGTGATAAACATGACAAAAAATATGTTCCTGCTGAAGGATTTTGTGAAGAGTGTTTCGAGTACTTGTGTGGAACATGTGTGAAGTTCCATAAAAGATTATTGGTCTCTCATATTATCAAGGATAAGGATAACATGCCACAGGATTTCTGCCTAGAGAAATGTTCTATTCATTACGATGAATTAATCAAGTTTTATTGTCAAGCTTGTAAGAAATTTGCCTGTACTAAGTGCAAGATTCAAGACCATGGGAACTGTAAAATGGTCGGCCATTTGCCAGCTCTTGTTTCCGGGATTGAAAACAGCAAGGAAATCGAAGAACTTAAAGAAAATATTGATGAAATAATGAACGATTTGAAAAATACAGAAGAGCAAGTGAACATAAACAAGAAGGATATTGTTTCACAAGAAAAAAAGATATTAGATAAAGTTATGAAAAAGAAAAAAGAAATACTGTCAGCATTTGAAAAGCATCAAAGAGAAATAATTCAAGGCTTTGAGAAGAAAATAGATGAAACCTTGAAAAGACTTAAACAAGAGAAAAAAGAGAAAATTGAAAAATTACAAGAAAATCAATGGAAACTAGAAAAATTATTGAATGTTGAGGAAAATGAAATTAAGAAAAAAATTGTAATAATAAAAAAGAATGATGAGAAAATTTTAAAGACAATTGCTGAGGAAACTACAGAAATGAGTTATAATCTTCTTATGATATCTATGGAGCTAGATGATGATCAAAGGTGTCAAATGTTTGTTGCTATGAAGAAGGGACAGGAAAACATTGAACAATTGAAATTAGATGCAGATAAACAATGTTACAACAATTCCATTCATTATTACAAAGTTGAATGCACAGCTTCTGATCAGAATATAACAGATATACAAGACTGTGATAAATTTTTCACTTTTCAAGAAGTACCTAAGTCTAAAGTAGAAAGAACTGCTAGTTTTTTCACAGATTATCAATACACAATTGACTCCACGTCATCTTTATGCTTATTATCAGAAGACTGTCTTCTGATAAGTAACTGTAAATCTTCAAACCTAATTATAGAGATAGATTTGTGGATCGAGGTTTTGTCACCCCACCATTTACCAAGGGCTATAATAGACCTGCCTTCAGAACCTTGGGCTGCTGCTAAAGTTGACAATAACAAAGTTGCTGTCACATTTCCTAAACTTGGAACAATAAGACTTATAACTTTCTCTAAGTATACTACAGTGACCAACACTGAAGATATAAAAGTAGGAAAATGTTGTCATGGTGTTGCCTATAGTAACAACAAGCTTATAGTATCTTACACAAACAAACAAGCAACAGTAAAGATACTTGACATGTCTGGTAAAGTACTGAAAACACTTGATAAAGATCATCATGGGAAATGTCTGTTTGTTAATCCACATCACTTGACAATCAGTGCAGACAACACAGTTATATATGTATCTGACTTAGAGAAAAACTGTGTGATAAGTTTAACCTTTGATGGGAAAGTCAAGGCCATTTACAATGATGACCAGTTGAAGGGGCCATATCAACTGACTATAGATAGGTCTGGGGCAGTGTTTGTATGTGGACGTTTGTCAGACAATATACATCAATTATCCCCTGACCTATCCAAGATGAAAATACTGCTGGATAAAGAACAAGAACAAGGAATAAATGGACCAGTGGGTGTGGCATACGGCCAGAAAAATAACAGACTGTATGTGAGTCAGCATGCTGGTAGCATTAAAGTGTATGATTTAACATTGGAATACATGTAACACTATATCTTATCGTTTTATATCTGAATTATATGTAGTAAATAAAAGACTAAAGTGAAAAATATTTAAAAATTAAATTCTCAAATTAGAAATATTTATTTTTGTAATTCAAATTGTTTATATCCAATCAAGAAATTATTAAATTATTTTGTCTCACATCAAATAATTAAAATACCTTGTATGGAATAATTTAAGAAATTTAAGAAAATGATAATATATATCTTTGACGGTTCTGTTACGGATATTTCCGAATACGGTAAAGATATTAGTGAAAGGATGCATTATTTTCGAATTGACATTACGCCAGAGAAGGGATTGCTCCGCCCACTGATTCACGTGACCCAGTCAATAAAATATGGTACCGATGTTTTCTCAAACCTGTTATACCACTAATGTTACCAATGAATTTACATTATATAAGTTTTGAATATACAAAATTTTGATGTTTTTTATGGTTTTATTGAAAAGTATTATTCACTGTATAAATGTATTATGGCATTTTGAAAACGTAATAAGTATCTGCGTTAATATATAAATGACACTTGAAAAGTTTTGCAAATATCATGTTATTTCTTGTTGACTTTAATGAGGATCTTAAACTGACAAAATATCATTATATCTTACAAAATTGTCACAATATGAAATCCCAAAAAGTAACAAATAAACGAGCATCTGAATATGATATTGCTGTCGCTTTCCCGTTCTCTGTCGTCACAATAAGTTAACCCCAGCAAAAATGAGCCAATCAATTAGCATGCTCTGGAGTGCGGGTAACTAATACCTGCACTCCAGTTAACGCACTGTGCATGTATATGTATACGATTTAACTCTGACATATTTTCAACAGAAAGGTTCCAAAACTATGATACAATATGTAGAAAGTATATGATTATGTTATGATCATAAAATGTTGAAATTGAAGTAGCAAAACAAAATAATATAATTATATAAGTGACACAAAAGGAAGCATAATTCAGTCAAAATACATGGCAGAGTAATGGATCTTGAGATGTGACCTTCAATTATGACCCTATAAGTACATGTGTAAAGTTTCAAGTAAATACCTTTGATAATTCTTAAAACCTTTAACCTTTACCCAAATTTTCTAAGTTTCAAAGGGGCATACTTCTGTAAATATTGCAGGCAGAGTTATTCAACTTTGCAAACTGATGTGCATTGTTATATAAAAAAAGTTTTTGATTTAAAAACTCTTCTGCGACAAGGGATTAGCCAGCCTGTTTTTTTATGGCGATGTGATGTACAAACTTCGTAAGATTTTGGGTCATGGTAATTTTTCTGCTGCTTTTACTAAAATCATTAAACGTTTTATTAAAAGAGGTTATGACCCTACTATTTTAAGACATACTGCATGTTTAGTGTTCAACCCTTTCACAGTTGGACACTACGCTTTCCTCTTTTGATTACATCTGACGGACCAAGTGGGAGACTCTATGATGGATAGTTCGTAAAGCCCTTTGGAACTGAATTGTCTTAATGTTCGTCTTCTGTCTTGCTTCGTCGGGCCCTTGTAGGTGATTTTCTTGTTGCTCTGTCTTCCTTTAGGAATTTGAGTACTTTTTGTTGTGTTGTGGTCATTGGGTTTACTTTTATATGTTTCTACATGATCATTTTTAGTGTTTTACTTTATTTAACCTTTTGTAACCATGACAACTGTTTAAAATTTCACTTGGCGGGGATTCATTTTATTTACACTGTCTCGTTTATAGGAACATGGTGGGGCTAAGAGCGAGGTTTGGTGCCCATTAACCGGTTTAAACTCCCAGCAGTCATTATTTATGCTGCTGACCGTTCCAAGGCGGCGCCCCTCTGTGTTCCTCATATTTATGTCTATGTTGTTTCATACTGTTTTGGTGACACTTTTGCTTGTGTCCCTTGTTGTTTTCTCGTCTACGGTAAGTATCTTCCCCATTACCTCTAGTTTTTATTTCTTTTATTAAACCCCCCCCCCCTTCCCCCGGTCTCCTGTCCCCTTTGTGGGCCTATTTTTCAATCATTTATTTGTTTTCTTTGAATTCCTAATCAGTTACACAAATTATTTATTATTTAGTGATTATCCTGTCTGTGCTCTGCCCTGTCCTGTTTTTGTTTTGGGTCCGCCTTGGCTCCTTGCCACTGGTTCTTGTTGCTGGGGCATATGGGGGTTGCGTTCATTGAACGCCGCCTTTCCTTGTTGATCTTGTTAATCATATTGTAAATTTAAATTGAAAATCTCAAGCAATAATTGAGATATTTGACATTACAAAAAAACTTCAACCAAAATTTCTAAGTTAAAAGAGGGCATAATTCTGTAAATATTGTAGTCAGAGTTATCCAACTTGTCAATCTGATGTACATTGTTACTACAAATAAGTATTGTGAGTTTCAATTGAATATCTCAAGCAATAATTGAGATATTGACTTTACAAAAAACTTTAACCAACGCAGACGCGGACGCCGATGCGATTGCAATAGCTCTTCATATTCTTCGAATAGTCGAGCTAAAAAGGAAACGTTAAGATTTGTTCAAACGTTTCTTTGTTTGCTTTTAGAAAAATTAAAAAATCGAGCGTTGCCCCCGCCAGGCGGTGGCTCTTGTTGTATTTACTCATTACACTTGCATTTTTACGGCTGTGTTTAATTGACGCTATATATTATAAAAATTATACGAAAAAATGTCATATCCCCTGAATATTCTGGGACCTTATTATATATAATGTGATTATGAATAGACAGAATGGTAATGAAAAAGTGGATTTGTTTAAACCTTTTTTAATGCATCGTGTTATAGCCAGGAAAAATGATTTCTACCTGCTATAAAACTTATTATTTCCATAATTATGTAGAAATTAATTGAATTTTTGTATAATAAACGAACTTACTCGATCTGACAATATGTCAGTATATTCTATAACTTAGTTAATATACCGATTAAAAGCTTTAAATTGACAGAAAATTAAAATAATTTTAATCTTAATTACTTCTGCATCATTGTCTTAGACTAAGGAAAATGATCGAATTCGCGAAACTGTTAACGATCGCTGATTGGCTTATCTCTGTGACCCCTGTCAGCTTGATTGGCAGGCGGCGTAATGTCAATTGTGTCTGACGTAGTTTTACAATTTACAAATATTCAGAAAGAAATATTTACTTCCCGCTGACTGACATATAATATCAAGAGTAACATTTCTTTAATTGAGGTGCTTTCCGATTACTGAAATTTTCCTATCAAAAGTTTCTTCCATTTGATTGGGTTAATCTAATATCACGTTACTTCCTTTTGATTGTTTACATCAACTGTTACTCTACTACTCAATTTATATACTAGGTTATTTCCTTCCCGCCTTGGTGTCTAATACTCTCAGATTGTATTTGATTATATATATCAGAGCGATTTTCCATTGATATTTTAAACCAGTTATCATATCCCCTTCTTTTTTGATAGAAGGCAAAACATTGTGCTTCTAAACAAAAACAAATGTTGTTTTCTTCATGATGTTTATTTGAACATAAACAGTAAATGTTATCAAGTATAAATTTAAGCTTTTATCATACTCTTCATGTTTAAAATACACATACTACAATCCTGTTCATCATAAAGAGACACATTATATTTATCATATTCATCTTTATCAAATGCAATTTGTTTATCAGATATGCTATGTTTATTATAGTTATCATACACATAGCGTTTTACACATCATCTTTATTATATTCATTAAATATATTATGTGTATCATGTACAGTTTATGTTACATAATGTTTATCATACACATCATGTTTAACAGTTTACGTTTACCATATTACACATGTTTAACAAATAAATCAAATTTATCATATTTTGGTGAAATCAATATTCAATTTATTGTATTGTCATATAAAAACGTTCCACATACAGACAAATTCAACAAGATAAAGAAAATTTCCAACTTACACTTGACTTACAAAGCTTATAAAAGATATAAAGAATGATAAAAAATGGAATAAAACAAACTGAACACATTCTGTTTGAACAATGAATGACCTTTCATTTCAGATTTATTGTACTATTTTCATCGACCTACAGACTAGAACATTCTAACACGCTTCACACTATTCCGCGTATCAAATCGATAGGGCAATAAAATGTTTCATTACACGATATATGCAAAGCATGAAAAATTAATGCTTACACATCAAATGACGTCAGATATGACAATAATAATAAAATAAACCAAATTACACCAGCAAAATTACGTCTCTGCTAAATTTAATTCGACATAGAAACAATTCTCTTTTTTACCATGTTAGAATAGATTTTACCATGTTAGAATAGAAATATGTAACAAGGTATATAATGCATGATTTATCGTTTTAAACGCCTTTTAATTATGCACTCAGTAATGTCTTATATAAACATTTTGCAAACAAAAATACCTTCTTTGGCTTTACATTCATCAATATTTGACAATGCTATATTTCTTGAAGCATATTTTACCACCTGAGGCAAACCATACTGCTTGCCTTTAAGCAACCTTTAATGAAAACAAATGGTACTTCCCATGTTTATTCAAAACGAGTAGTAGTGCCAAATTTATGTTAAAAGAAATGGGGCTAACAATAAATGGCTGTGACCACAATTGTTCAAAAGAAATGGTTGTCAACTAAATTGTTTTAAACAAATGGTTGTTACCCAAATTGTTCAAATCAAAAGTTGACAACTCAATTATTCAAAACAAATGGCTGTCACCTGAATTGTTAAACAAATAGTTTCAATCCCGATTGTTTAAAACAAAAGATGAACACAACATCTGAAATATGAACACTTGCGTGACTAACCAATAAAGAACATGTATTATTCAAAAACAAATGGTACTGATTAACATTATTCAAAACAAACAATAAAGACAACTTTTATTCAAAACAAATTGTGATATTAACAGTTATTTAAAAGAAATTGTAATGACAGTTGCTTAAAGAAATGGTACTGAAAACCATTATTATTGCCCATAATTATTCAAAACAAAAGTGCTGATTAAAATTGAACAAAAACAAATTGGTACCGACTACCATTATACAAAAACAAATGGTAATGATGCCAATAACTCACATACAGTTGGTACTGATGCTTATTATTCAAACAAACGGTACTGATGCCAATTATTCAGAAAGATTTGGTAATGACACCAATAATTCAAAACAAATGGTACTGATGCAATTATCCAAAATGATTTCGTATTGATTCTATTTATTCAAAACAAATGATACTGATGCCAATCATCCAAAGCTATTTGGTACTGACACAATTTATTCAAAACAAATGGTACTGACGACCTTTATTATTTAACTGTCGTCTGCTGTTATATGGAACAGCTGATTCCATCTCAGCCATTCCTTGCCCTCTTCTAGCCCTCATGTCTGATCCATAACCTGGGTCTGATAGTAATAGTCTCTCTCGTCACCATAGTAACTATGCCCTGTGAACTTTCCTTTACCATAAATTGCCTGACCATGACCTCCAGCTAGTAGCTGTGAATAACTGCTGTTCTGTTTACCTCCACTTCCTTTTACAGCCGACCTTCCCTGTATACTGGCCGATTTTGTTTGCTCCTTGTCTTTACCTTTGACCCTGGGACTGTGTCTGCTTTCTTCTTATTTTTCTTACCTCCCTTGCTGCAGGCTCTACTGGTGGAGGTAAATTTAGTTTAACATTTCAGATTAAAGTCTTTGGATTTTTGGTTTTAATTTTTTTACTTTTAATTCTACCATGTTCAACATCGTCAATGAATGTTTTAAAATCGGTGTATGTGTCAGGCTTTTCTGCCATAAGTCTTTTTGGTACTTGCTATGCCTTCAAAGACGTCTGGTAAAATATACGGCTTTATCCACAGTATATCCGACGTGCTTTCTGACCTGTACTTGATATCCTTCTTAAAGAATAAGAGTCCATCAATCTACAACAGAAAATGACAATTAAATTACAAAATTATATTGCAATAACTATGAAAATTTCAGACTTCCAATTTAAACAATAAATGTTGTAAACATTGCATGCATTTCCTTCCCAGGCCACCATTTTGGATTTTTCCGGTATATTTTATGCAAAAAGAAAATCTTTCTCAATCATTTTCATATAAACTGTTAAGACTTGTTTGATTTATAATATTTTTCTTCAAATGCAATTCAAAGTTTGTAACAGAATTTGACTACCTATTAAAGCTCTTAAGCGATAAACTTTGACAAATCTTTGTAAAGTCAAGTGATCCTCTCAACAGTTAATTTTGACCCGAGTTTCATGATTTGATAACACTTACTAGTGGTTTACAATTAAAATCCTTGACACAAAATATCCAAGCTTTAAGCCTTGCAGTTAAGGAGAAGACGATTTCTTGAGGTTCTTCCTACATAACTATGTATAATAAAGTGAACCCTGGACTGGATTGGGCCATTTTAGATGATTGAAAAAAACTACATCTTGTAAAACCCAATATCTTGGTTGAAGGAAAATAAAATTTCTAAAGGTTTTCCTATAGATTACTATGCAACTTGGTAGTGATCTGCTATTCTGTTTCATACCAAATATCTAAGCTCAATGCATAGAAAATCATTACCTCAAATGTTGTCTGCCTCATGCACAAATCAATACCTTCTAATGAACAATCATACTGATACAGTGGCACAAACTTATACTGAAAAAAAAATCCAAAATTTATGTTTTAAGGGTATATTGAAAACATGATGTAGTGAAATTTTACCCTATAAAATCACATTTTAAACAAACAAAAAACCAACACAACATACACGTTTATTATTTCTTTTCTAGAGTTATCAGACCAACCAGTCCTGGTATAGCATCCGTTATGGCTCTGTACTGTACTGTACTGATCCAAGTAAGGAGTAACAGAAAAATTGTTATCATATACATATAATTAAAATTGGATAAAATACAATGTACATGTATGAAACTTCTTAAGTCTGCAATCTTAAAGTTGAAAAACCAAATAATCATAGACAAAGGATGATCTTTACTAAAATATTATTCCTGGATTTTCTAGTGTTTACAATGGTTCTGAGAAATGTTATCTTTACGTAGCTTTTATACTTATACCTACCATATTAAGGTCTGTTATATTTTTAAATTCTGGTCTTTTTGAAATTTCTCTTTTCACAAACTTCATTCTGTCCATATACTGATAAGGGAAAAAACAAAATAACAACATTTGAGTCTCTTGCAATTGATATGCACATATGCATTTCAACTTTACAGCTATAAAATACATTGACCTTTAATATCCGTCACACACTGTTAAAATATATACATTCTTTATATGGCATTTCATGACAGTACACAGTAGCCTGCAGCAGCAAATCTATAAAAGAAATCTAAAGAGCGACCTTGAGTTTCTAGTATTTTATCAACAGTGGCCTATGATCACTGAAGCCCAAATGTTATTTGCTGTTGTGATCATGACAAACAAAAAGATTATTTTTGAAGACAATGGATTATAAATTAATATTAGTCTCTCTTTTAATGTAAATAGAGGATATTAAATGAGTTTAAGTTCAATACTGAATTTATTGCACGAGTTGAATAAAATTATATTATGCGAGCCTCTGGCGAGCATAATATTATTTTATTCAACAAGTAATAACTAATAAATTCAGCAATGAACTTACAGAATTTTTAATATTCTATTTATCACAACCCAAAAGAAATACCGTTTAAAAGTGAAATAAGAGTCATTTTTCAATGACGTGCCTATAGTATAACACTAACATTTAGAGCGTGTCTTTGCACTATGTTGTTTATAACGCTAATGACATCACATTCTAAAATATATGCACAGCCTGGTGCAATATCATATTTACGGAGTCGCAAAATTCGGCACGGGTGTGTGAAAAAACTGCAATACGAACTTGTCTTTGACACAGTAAAGAGCCAGAACTCATTTTAAAATTACATACGGAAGTCTTTTTACGTCATCGGATGCCCACATAATACAGTCCAGAATAAAATAGGTCATCATCTCTTCATGGAACAAGCAATCAAGTAGAGTCACAACTGTAAAATTATCATTTATTTTGAAATTTCATTAGGATACATTACAATTAATTTAAGATGAAAAAAATGCACTTATAAAAAATCAATTATATTCCTCTAAAAATAGTAAATGCAATAAAGACTTATATATACCATTTGTATTATATAAATGCTATGAAAGTACGTAAAGTACGTAAGCCAAACTCAAAATTGGTAACTCCTCAATTTAAACAGTTTAGAATTAGTTTGTATGAATTCATTTGAGTTTGATTGTGTTGGAAGCTATAAGCTTATTGAAATACTCAAATTTGTTCTTGGAGCTAAATAGTTCAAAGCAACAATTGTAGTTTCTTGCTCAAAGAAATAATAGCTTGCTCCAGCAGGGTTTGAACCAGCATGGCCAGTAATCTTTAAATTGCTAGCAACACAAAAACTGCTCAGCAACCGTGCTCCTTAGAAGTAAAATCCCTTCAACTTACTATGGATTATTTCAACTTCATGGCAGGACATGTCCATTATGGACTATTTTGTTACAGTTTAAGCATACCTGTAGGACCAAATCCATACTCTGTACCATTTCCACCTGGCAACACCGACAAGAAATAGCCAGGTATCTTAAAACCTTTCTTACTAAATGACTTCGTCTCTCCCTGTAAATAGTTACCATGTTTCATACTTAAAATTGTACATCATTCTGCTTCAGTAACAAAAACAATTTAAAATTTCAATTTTGCTTCAGTAACAAAAACTTTTTATAATTTAAACTTTAAAACCTTGTCATAAAAAACAAAACTCAAAGGTTTAGGCTGCCATTTTCACCTTTTATATTATTTTTTTCACTGCTCTTACAGGACCTCTGCTTTTCCCAAATTTTCTGCCTTACATCATTTAATTCATGCTTATTTCCTTTTATTACATTGTGTAATAAATAAAGGTTTAAAATAATTCTCATTTCAACTTTTCTCATTAGAACTACCATATGTGCCCTAATATGTAAAGTATAGCCTCACTTCCTTTTTAAGTCATTATCAAGTTTCCAAGTTTACTGGAATTCATTATTTTATGCATGAGCATGTATAATAACAATGTATTATTATGTATCTGAATAGAACCAAAAATGTATCTTACAATAAACTATAGTAAATATTGGCTTACATCTATACCATGACTAGCACATCTTTTTCCCTGACAGGACATGTTACTGTACACCAATCTGTTTCAAAATCTCTGGGTATTCCTGGAACCCATTTAGATTCCATCAGCTGTATAGAAAATAGTTTTCATAAATCGACTTTCAAATACAAGCAAAAAGGACTTGGATTGCTCAGCGGCAAAGGTGTTTGACTGCTGACCAATGGATCATGGGTATGTCTTTGACTCCCAAACAGGCATGGCATTGCTTCCCATGACACCTCTACCTCTTGCATCAATGCAATATAAATTTGACTTGTTTCGATATCCAGTCAGACACAAAATATCATAGCACAAACTTTAGACCTTCAAGTTAACCTTGACCTTTAAAATGATTGCCAATGACATGAAAATTCTGTGAGTTATCTTAAGAATGATGGAACTTTGACCTAACCATCATAAACATCCTAAAATTTACTAAAAAAAGTTGAAGAACATACATAAATCTGATCCTTGACCTTATCTGTAACTATGACATTTACTAAGAAGGTCCAACATATAGAATCTGCTTTTAAACTCACAGGTATAAAAGTTTGACCCGTGTATCATTCATTTCTCTTTATGGGTGGTCAAAGTTCAATTTCAACAAATTCAAACAAGAACCGGTTGAACCGGGTGATGCTCCCCAAGAGGGTTCTGGACACAGGAAAGTATAAAAAATGAACAAAGGGCAAAATCTCCAAAATTAGGCAAGGCGGAGTTATGTTTTTTTGCACTGCACTTCTATTCAATGAAATCTATCTATCTATAAAGTTTCCTGATGATATCAGAGTTATGGTCCCAGGTAAAAATTTCAAAGTGTTAAAAAAATGAACAAAGGGCAATAACTCCAAAATTTAGACCAGGGCTTTGTTTAGGTTCTTAAAGCATTGCAGTTCTATCCATTTATATCTAGCTACCTACAAAGTTTCATGTTGATATATCTAATAGTTTTAAAGTTATGTCACGGACGAAAGTCAAAAAGTAAAAATAAACAAAGGGCAATAACTTTAAAATAAGGTAAGGCAGAGTAATGATTCTTAAGCACTGCACTTCCACCCAATGAGACCTATCTATCTACAAAGTTTCATGTTGATATCTCTTATAATTTTAGAGTAATGTCCCGGACAAAGTTCAAAGTGTAAAAATGAACAAAGGGGAATAACTCCAAAAGTGTTACAGTTACTGTTCTTGTGCACTGAAAACCTACTCAATGAGATCTATCTACCTACAAAGTTTCATGTTGATACCTCTTGTTGTTTCAAAGTTATGTCCCGGACAAGAAAAGGGGACGGATGGAAAGACAAACGGACGGACAAGGCGGCGACTATATGCTCCCCCGAAATTTTTCGGGGAGCATAATTAAGCTCTCATCTAAAGTGAGTGTGTACATGTATATAAGCTATATACCTTGAGTATGATAAATTGACATGAAAAATATTTAGGTTGTCCGGAGGGCAAAAGACGGATCAGAATCCAAATACTGTTCTATCAATAAATGTGCAACAGAGTGGAGAAAAAAGTGGGTAGATGTTAAAAGAAATTTTGATGTAACAATAGAGAAGGGTTTATAGAACACTGCAATATTGTTTTCATATTTTATTGATCAAAAATAAATGGCAATAAAACAAGTAAAAACAAAAACAAAAGTTAAATCTGCAACTGTTACTCAACAGTGTTTGTGCCCTTCCTTCCCTGTTGTTAACTTTGATTTATCAACTTGAAAGTAACATTAACATCTGTCCTGTGTAAACATGGATTATCAACATTATAATAACCTTTCTGTTGTAAACATTGATTTATCAACATTTTAACACCTTTCTGTTGTAAACATTAATTTATCAACACTCAAACACTTTCCCTTCTTTAAACATTCATTTAACAAGATTAAAATACCTTTCCTGTGGTAAACTTTGATTTATCAACATTTAAACACTTTTTTAATTGTAAACATTGATTTATCAACATTAAAACACCTTTCCTGTTCTAAACATTGATTTATCAATGACAGAAAATTTAATCTTACTACACTTAAATTGTCAGCTGTTTATATTCGCCCCTTTACAATATGTACATGCCACTGCATATTGTTTTGTTGTTTTATTGCATATTTGTCTTAAAATTTGCTGCTTTTATTCACGCCTAAGCTACTAGCATGAAATGTATTTTACTTTCAGATTTGTTATAATGTTAGTTAAAATGTTTTATGGTCTTCATTATATTAGGTAAATAGCTTATTAGTAAATGTTGTTTTTCTTTTAATAATTCATAAACTGACTTATTCAATACACATTCTTATATCTTGTAAAATACATTTCCATTTTGTAAACATTTATTTATCAACATTGAAAAATATGAAGACAGTCATTAAAACTTGACATTCTTACAGATGTCATTGGCAAGTCTTAATTGCTGATAGCACTAAAGGTTTAGAAGTCAAACAAAACAAAAAACAGAAAACAAATAGAAAAATAAATATTATCTTACCATCAGATCTGAAAAAAAAGCCTGTTTCATTTAATGCGGGGTTACTGATCAAAACCAAAAGGGGTCTTTCTATAATAAAAAAAATATTTTCTTTTAACAGTCTCTTTTTTAAACAATAACGAATACAGGGATCTTCCTTATTTTGGTGCATTTAAAATGAAAATTATCCAACTCTACCAAGGGGGAAAAATTCAACTAAAATGTTGTATTAAACTGTTCAACAGTAAAAGAAATACAGGTGCAGCTCCAGTTTTCATGGTTAAAAAAAACAACAAAAAAAAAACTTTAAGCACAAATTTTTTGCATAGCCTCATATAATGAAACTGCAATATTCATGTTACATTGTTACTATTGGCAACACCCTGATGTTCCATATCTTCACTAACATTACTGTCATTCACGCTAGATTTTGAGATATTTCCCTCATTACTAATACTAGTATCAGAAACATCACATTCTTGACTTACATCCATCTTAAATTGTTTTTGAT